GGCTGTTGAGCAGTTGATTGTGATTGGTTCTTTTGCTCTAAAGGAATGTTGCGGGTGGAAAGGAAATGCGGGTTAACAATAAACAATGGCTGGCTCGAAGAGTGGCAATTCAATAAACTTGTATTAAATTATGGTAGAAATCAGATATTTACATGTAAATTTTTGCTTAAACTATGGTATGGACACATTCAAGACTTCTGGAAACAAACTACATGGATATTTGAAGGATTAAAACATCTGAAAGTTGAAACGAATTGAATGATAAAGATATATATTTTACAGTTCAAGACTCAGATATCAGTCACGGTCCTACTAAAGACTATAGAAATTTATCTTGTGTATGCAACGTCTACAAGATTGTGTAAATTCGTCTACAAGATTATTGTGTAAATTGTCGCCCTCCACCTATCTGTCTGCGTCAACGCAAGTTTATACATTGTATTCGACAATTTGAATAGTTTATAAATTTATAATGTAATCTACGAAAATTTAGTATTTATCAAATACTTGATTCACAAAGTGAATGGCAGCATTTTGTTCTGCTTGCCAATCACAATGAACAGTTCACAATGGTCAATGGATCCAGTGTTGTTTGAAAACCACAAGCTCGATTGTTATTAACCCAAGGTGAAAAGCTGGCTTTTCACACACAAAATATTGAAGGGATTTTCTAGATGGAATTAAATTATTTATTCAAACTATTGAACTATTGAAGCAAATTTAGAGAATACAGCATATTAATAATTTAACCAGACAACCAGTTATGTGTCAAGTCTAAAGACGGATTTCCAGTGCTTGCATCTAATTAAAATTAACAGTTCAGCATTGTGATTGGATGAAAGTGCTCATGCATTGCAGCGAGCTGCTTCGTGAGAGGACTGGAAATCTGCCTTAAGAAGCATTTTAGCTACCTGTTGCTAAAGTTCATTTATAAACACTGTCACTGAAATATTTATTAACAAATACACCCTTCTGGAAAGTACATTAGGGATGGATTTACTGGGGGGTGTGCACCCCCCTAGCCATGGCCAGGGGGTGCTATTTTTCATGATAAAGCAAAAACTTATTAGAGACAAAATGAGATTCAGTAATTTGAGTAATAACGTGATGATAAGCGAACTGTGAACAACAATTACAATTCAAATACTGTAGTCAAGCAAGACTTTGCAGTAGTGGAACAAGTTGATAGATGGGTAAGGTCACTGGAAACCAATTGCAACGTAATCGTTCGGAAATTTTTTTTGCCTAAAAAGTTGTCTACGGGGGGGTGGGGGTGGAAAGGTCATTGCTCTCTGCGAAAAAATTTTTTCCCCCCAAAATGTTTTAAATAGAAGTCCCTAAAAAAAGTTGCACCCCCCTTACCAGATCATGCTGGATCCATCCCTGAAGTATACATCACTTTGACTATTCTGGTTTTGTAGTATGACATATCCTCTTATAGGAATTCCTATAAGAAAATTATCCTACTTTCCTGTAGGAATAGTAAATGACACACAATGTTCTTCATCAGTCATCGCTCTTAATTTTTTAATGCAAAAAAATATATACGATTATTAATAAATATACACTAATATTACAAATATAAATATTTATACAAGAAATTGGTTACACTAAACATTGCAGACCAGTTATAGTTTTCACCAATGGTTTAATAACAAGTCAAAACAAAAACATAACCTAAAGAAAACCATTGCAGTGTACACAAGCACCAATTAATCATTCTACCTCCATGCAATGCCATATTTATTGACCTTTGTTATTAAACCATCCAGGTAATAACTATAATTGACATGTAAAGTTAATTACATTAACCCATTAATTTAATCGTATGGCATTAGACAAGTAAAAAATAAGTAGGCAGCACTGGGGCACATTGCAGCTCAATGGGTTAACTAGAGACATTGTAAGATTTTTTGTTAACCCATTAAGCTGCAGAGCTTCCCCATTGACAAATAAAACCGTCTAGCATTAGACAAGTAAAAAAAAAGTAAGTAGGAAGCACTGGGGCTCATTGCAGCTCAATGGGTTAAAATTTGCCTCAAAACATAGTCCTCAAATAAGTTATTGACTATTCTAGTTAAAAACAAGCAACAAGTCACCTGTAATGTGATGAAACATTACTCAATAAATATTTTTATATACCAAATGTTTTTTGAATATGCCCCTTTTATGAATTATTAGCTGGGCAATAATATTTTTAATAACTAGCCTGGTGTTTCTGTTTTTGACTATTGTTCTTGTTTGCCTTTCTGCACTTTGCAACACTTTACAGTGTTGAATTGTTTATTTTTGTCCTCATGTGTTGGCGAACCTCTGAGGCCTTACATCCATACTTTTTTTATACATAAGCTGTAAAAAGAAAAAGAAATTTATTTAATGCATACCACTTTAATAGCTGCTGACCAGAAAAATAAGGGAAACATTTCCCCAACATGGCAAGAACAATCATAGTGATTGCTTAATGTTAATTATATTTTCAATAAACTTTCCAACCAGTTGGTTTTTATTTAGAATGGTGATCCAGAATAGATGAAACTTAATGATACTCTTAAATATTAATGTCACTTCTATAAATGCCACTCTGTTCTATGTCTGATTAGTCAAATGGAACTTCACTTGTCATGCATGGATAAATCTCCTAGACAGGTCATGTAATGTTCTTTATTGATCTCCATAATATTGTGATGCATATTCAATACATGTCACCATAAGCTCTATTGGAAGCTTCATAAAGATTTTCCTGCCAGAAAAGGCAAGGGGTCTATACATATGTATTAGACAGATTTAGATCGAGGACGCGAACGTCAAAGACGACGTGAAAATGGCGTCAATATGGCGTGGCATATCCATACATGGGCACAACACGTCATTTTCACGGCTACCAGCCGGGGTTATTTAACTGTAATAAAATACTACAATGCAATACGAGTGTCAGCCGAGCCTGTCGGTAGTATACTGTAGTATACTACAATACATCGCGGCTACCAGCCGGCAATACGGCTATCAGCCGGGCCTGTCTGTAATATACTATAGTATACTACAGACACGCCCGGCTGATAGCCGTATTGTCGGCTGGTACCCGCGATGTATTGTAGTATACTATAGTATATTACAGACAGGCCCGGCTGATAGCCGTATTGTCGGCTGGTAGCCGTGAAGTATCATAGTATACTACAGTATACTACCGACAGGCATGGCTGACACTCGTATTGCATGGTAGTATTGTATTACAGTTAAATAACCCCGGCTGGAAGCCGTGATCTATGCCGCGATGTATTGTAAGTATTGTATTAAAGTGTAGATACGGCTCGGCTGCTACTGTACCCTTGGCCGTGTACGATGGTGTACATATTTACGCAATCTTTAATCGCGCTGGCTAAGAATAACCTGTATATATACAATAAATTAACATATTTTCCGTGTAAGACGTGGTGGCGCAGAGGGACAAGACTCAGCGTGTGTGCTGAAAGTCGTGAGTTCGGTCCCGGAATGCGCGCAAACGAATTTGAAATTTTCTTTTTGCCGAAATTGTTTTTTTTCTCGTTTATTTACCTGTCGCATAGTTAGCTATATGCATTGGGAAGATGAATTTAGATGCATTTCGATGATTTTCGGAAAATTTAATGTAATTTTGGTGGTTTTCTGCTTATGAAACATTCTAGAACCAGTCTCCGAAATGCGCGCATTTTTTGAACGAACAGTATACTATAGTACAGCCCGGCTGGCAGCCGAGAAATCGGAGACAAAATTTCCGGCTGTCAGCCGGCGTCAAACGCGCTAATCGGGTGTTCCAACGCGGGATGTTCTTCGAGTTCGAGTTCAAACACCTCAGCCAATTCTGGAGTGGGACAAAAAAGATTTCAATCTTTTGCCGAATTTCAAGCTGAGAAAGGACGTGAACGAACCAATGAAAGGAAACCGGATGAGTCAAGCCGTTTCAAACAAAAGAAGCGTAAACGCAATGCGGAAGTTACTGTAAACATTGGGATAATGGCTTTCGACAAGAAGGGGGAATTCAAACCTATAAGGTCGAAATATTTGATGGTGAAAGCATGGCCAGAATACAACAAATGGCAACTTCTCAGTGAAGCGGTTAAAAAGCACACAAACCACGATAGATCGTTTACTTTATTATCGAATGAGTGGACCTTGGTTTATCCTGATGGGACGGAAGTCCTTTCAATACCTGGAAAAGACGATGTATTGTTTACTTTAGAAGGGTATAAACAAGAATTGTGCAAAGCGTATAACCGAATCACGCTATATCTGGCCAACCCTAAGGATATATCAACGTTTGAAGCATCTAGAAACGTAAATCAGTCCGACTATGAAGATGAAGAGAACATGCAGGACATCCAATGTTCCGAAAATGGAGAATCCTATCATTTCTATCTTGACACACATCATGAAGTGGTAACAATCCCATCTAGCGAAACCGCCCAAGCGTCAACTATCATCAATGACAGTCCACAACATCAGGATAATATGACGCCATTAACATTGGACTCGCAATTGCATACGTTGATGGAGATATTTCCTGGAAGAGATGAGGAATCAATGAGAGTGGCCATTTCATCTACCTCAAGTCTTGAAGAAGCTATCCAATTAATTTCTGTAGATATTGGAGGTTCTCTTCATAGTTCGTATGCCAACTTATGCATGGAGGATGTTGAAAATGATGATTTGATTATGTCTCCTGAGTGCTACTTTGTAACTGATGAAACTGTGTATTGCACTGACAAAGTTCTACATATGCTGCTGAATAATCAAGCAAAGAAATTTGTTGGTGATGGAGAGTACACAAGGATGAAAGTGACAAGGTAATTTGTAAGCCAACTTGGCTATTAAAGTGATTAGTGGGGAGGGGGCTATGGGTGCTCACA